CCGGCAGCTGTGGGGATCAAGGGTCAGGGGGTGCAGGGGAGGATGTATTCGCCAGCTGCATGCGGGAAAACTTAAAAGAGAAAGCTAAGGGCGGGGGTCTTTCAAAAGAAAAACAGAGGATTAAAACAGAGAGGAAAATAGAAGCCTACTTTTGGTTTAGCAGAGAACAATGTTCACATACAATAGCTTTTAACACATAAACACTGAACATCAATTTACCCCATATTATAACATGGAAAGGATGAAGAAGGCATAAGTGGAAGTGGCTATCAGAGTTCCTTTTCACAAAAGAAAGGCTGGGTCCCAAAGGTGAAAAAGCAAGAAATGACAACATAGGAGGACTTGGCTAAGGGAACTGAAAGCAGCAGGGAGCCAGGATACTGACTAGAATCTGCTATTTTTGCATTACCATCCTTGCAGTATGTTTGCCCTTTTAAACCCAAGGAAGGGGCAGATGGAGACTTTGCCTCAGCTATTCTGTTTCTTTTGTTTATCAGGTAACTACCCCACCCCCTCAAATTCCTCATCCTGTATCACATCCTCTGAGCTGAGCACTGGGTTGCCAATGATTTTATTGACACCCAAAGGAATTGCTTATGGAGAAGCAATACCCTTGTAGTGGCTGAGCCTATCTGTGACATCTCTACCCTTCTGGGACTGAGAAATCAGTGAGTCTACAAACCCAGGTATTGGCTGCTAACTTTTGTTCAGTAAGAGACACAAAACTCCATTGTCCCTGCAGGATTTCCTGGTTCTGCAGTAGGAGAGACTATCATTTGGCAGGCCAAAAGATAGGCTACATGATGTTCTGTAGGAAGCCGGTTCCTGCATTATAATGCTGCCTGAAGATACCAAGGTGTGAATTACTTCACAGGCGCTGGGTAATCTCCATTCCTTTGATCTCTGCCTATCCCGTGGCTCATTTTAGCCTGAGGAGCTAAAGCCATTCATAGGGTAATACGTCCCAGGCGGCTGGTCAGCCTTTTATATAGGGATGGTTTTCTTGGTTCAATGTCTCTGCTCAGTCTCTGTTCAGTCTAATGCATTAAAGCTTGTCTGCAGAAGGATCCGAGTGTCCTGCGTGTATTTCTTGCTGGCGAGGAATAC